ATGCCTGGTAACTTTGGCCGTTTGCTCATTGGGCCCAAATGGGTCTCCTGCATACAGACAATGCTCGATCCATTACAGTGACTAGATAGCGCATCGTCATTTGTTATAGTGTATCCTTCAATGTTAATTGAGGTCACTACTAGCGCTGGCATCGTGGCTTGCAGTGTTATCAAGAAAAGCCTTGATTCTCGTTGGCGGTCAGTGGGTGCAGAATTGGCTACTTCAGTCAATTACTGTAGCACAGCTCCTGTCATCAGCATTTCCCGGGATGCGCTACGTGGATGCTTTTGCATGCATCCCATTTTGCTTTTGTTTCAGCAAAACACTGCTGACCAAAAAGAAGCCAAAGGCTCGTCTTGCATTTTTTAAAAAGCATAGATAGAAAAACATAGACTAGATTACCCCCAAGACTTTTGTGATAATATTCGTAGACTGCTGAGTCAAAGATGGCACTTTATGGAGGACATGGGTCCCGTTACATCTGGTGTAAAGCTAGCACTGCATTCCACCATAAGAACATCATACTAGCAGTCAATCATGGTGGTGGTAGAGAGATGGTCTGGGGCTGCTTTGCTTCTGCAGGAACTGGACGACTTGTCATAATTGATGGAACCATGAATTCTGCTCTCTATCAGAAAATCCTAAAGGAGAATATCTACCCAACAGTTTGTGACCTAAAGGTCAAGCACAGTTGGGTTATGCAGCAGGAAATTGATCCAACGCACACAAGCAAGTCCATCTCCGAAAGGCTAAACAAAAATTAAGTTTAAGGTTTTGGAGTGGTCAAAGTCCTGACTTGAATACCATTGAGATGCTGAGGCAAGACCTTAGGGTTGTTTAGCCCTTTCTAACCAATAATGCCATTCTTTGCCAACCCCATTTCCAAAAAGTTGGGATGCTGTGCAGAATGTAAATAAAAACAGAATGCAATGATGTGCAAATCTTTTAAACCCTACATGCCATTGAAAATAATACAAAGGCAACATATCAAATGTTGAAAACTGAGAAAATGTATTGTTTTTTGAAAAATATATGCCCATTTTGAATTTGATGCCAACAACACGTTCCAAAAAGTTGTGACGGGGCCAACAAAATGCTGTTAAAGTTGTGTAATGCTAAAAAAGCACCTGGTGGTTGGAATGATATGCAAATCATATAAACCATATTTTTCAAGGAAAAAATTTGTCTAAGTGAGGGACAACAAATTTGCTAAGCATGTTCCTGGGCACATCATTAATAAACGACTGAGGGCAGTATCACAAGGCCGAATGGAATTACCAAATACTCATAATATCCATTGTTGATCTTCCACTCATACCGCTCCTTTATTCAGATAAGATTGTACCCACCTTTCTTCTTCCCTGCAAAAAATAATATAAAAAATACATACAAGTGAAATACATGGATGTATAAATTCTTGCTGTAAAGGTTCTTGGATATATTCCTCCATAACCTTATTCTCATCTTGAGTGAGGGGATAAACTCTGGCCTCAGGAAGGGCTGCTCCCTTTAAAAGCACTATGTCACAGTAATGGGGTGATGGAGGATCTTGGTGGCTTTGGTTTTACTAAACACTTGCTCAAGGTCTGCATACTCAAGGGGAATGTGTATGTGTGTCAACATACAGACTTTCAATGGAAGTGGACTGCAGAGCTACTTGGGGTTTTCTAAGGCAATGTTAGAAACAGCAAGGCGACCATGATAGCATCTCTCTTTTGGGCCATGAAATCAACAGATTAATCCTTTTGATATGAAGAGCGCTTGTGTTTAGAGTGATAGGGACAGTAATTCTTGACACTACCCTGGTGCCCAGGGGACCTCCATCAAGAGCTGAGAGCAAAAAGGACTTTTTTAAGGTTCCACAGGAATGTTCTCCTCATCCACTACTACAGCATGTATGAAGTTCCCCTCAGCTCCAGAGTCGATCAGGGCTGAAAATACAGAAGCACTGGTAGACTAACGACAGTGTATAGTAACCGTGAGGAGAAAGTAACCTTGATCCCAACCCCTTTGTGGGAATTCTCACCACATTAGGGCATGGAGATTTGTCCACACACTTTCCAGGAATCGTCACTTGAAGCTTATGCGGACGAACACTACAGTCACATAAAACATGCACGACCAGCTGAGCCACAGTACATGCATAAACCTCTGTGAAAATGACAAAGCCACTCCTCCTGAGTCAGATAGTAGTATCCTTGCTGGATTTCTAGAGTGCTGAGATGTTGAATTGTTGGAAACAGCGCTGGTCTATAAAACACGCTGCCCCCGGGTACGCAGTAGCTTATCAAGACCAATTCCAAAGAACAAAAAACAGTTCCTCTAAGGGTAGTGCTTTGTCTGAACATGCCAACTCTGACTGTGGAAAGTGATTAACAAAGCTGGTCTATTCCTGCCACTCCTGACTGTGAGAGTTCAGAATTTTAACATGTAATTTACTACAGACCTGTTATGTTAATGTATCTTAGTGATCAATGTTGTACATTCGACCAAACAGCAGTAGCCCAATCTAGAGCTTTTCTGGTTAAGTGACAGACTGGGAACAAGATACGGGCCTGATCAGAACAGGGAGGTGAATTACTAAGATATAGAGAACACTGCAGCAAGAACCCCAAATGGAACGAGGACTATTAAAGTTGGCTGTGACCTGAGGCTGAGTCTCAGAAGGAGATGACTGTAGCTGAATAGTAATATATTAGAGGTGATCAGCTATTAACATCATTTGGCTTTGTTGTTGACTTTGTTTTTGAGGTATTAGAGCCACACACCAAGACAATTTCATAAGCAACATCTGATGTTGACCCAACATCGTCACAACCAGAAGGTACACAAACCAAAACAAAAAGAGCATCGAGAGACAAGGTCAAGAGGCAGGCAAGGTTCAAAGACATGAGGGAGACACAAAAACTGAACAATTCTAAAAGGGGAAAAGCAAAAACATAAGTCAAGGTAATACAAAAAACTGGCCATACACAATGAGGCTCACAGGCAAGATTATGCTCAGTACACAGCTAGTATGCTGCCAATATTGGCTGACTACTAACTAAAGCCCGGGCTTATATACTCTCAAACAAATGACATAAGATGGTGTGTGATCTAGTACTCTGGTGATTTGAAATGTTTGAAAAAGTTATTGGCTTATGGTGATGAGTGTTGTCAGGTGGTCTTCCACTGTATCATGGGAAAGCTTAATTTACATCTATTACACCTGATTTTTGGAACATCCTTACATCAGCCTAATCTGTAAATATTATATGTTCAATGAAATATGTCTCATATTGAAGGGGGTAGGCACTCAAACATCGCTGTAATGATAATTTGACCTAAAATTAAACTGTGTTTTGTTTTCCTGTGGGCCTTCATGATTTCTAGTGATACATAGTTTCGGCTTGAGGTGGAAAATGCTGAGAACCCCTGATTTACATGACATCTATAGTATAGTATAGTAGATTTAGGTAATATAAACTAGACACCAAAGGTATTAATAGATGTTTTATTCTATATTTCAGCTACATTGTGATTAAGTTCATTTAAGACTCAAACACTATAACAATGTTAATAGTTTAAGTGAGATATTTAAAAAAAAAACAGCAGTGCAAACAGCGCAAAATACGTTGGGAACAACAAGAAGTTTTTTCAAGCAATATAACATGATTGTGAGTGTTCACCTTAGTTTATCAGATAAGTCCTTCACTTCTGTTTGTGTCACTGTGCTTACTTGTGCAAACTTTTGCGGTTGCGATGTTGCAATCACAGAGCAGATGTTTAGCAAGAGCGTACAAAGGATATCTGATTTAGCCATGACTATGTTGCCTCCAACAGTGACATCACTATTATCAAATTCGCTAATACCACTATCATGGGATTGATCACTGGGGGGTGGTGAGATGGGCCTATTGGACTGATGTGGTCGACCTGGTGGCATGGTGCCAGGTCAACAATCTATGCTTAAAAGTTGACAAACCAAAGATGATGCTTGTGGACTGTTGGAGGAGGGCAAAGCAGTATAAACCACTGCTCATTCAACAGATGAGGTTAGAGAAAGTGAGCACCTTCAAATTTCTTGGTGTCCACGTCAGAAAAGATCGCACTTGGTCTCATAACACAAGACAACTGGTCAAGAAAGCACAACAATGACTGCATTTCCTGTGAAGGCTAAAGAAAACTGGCATGTCATCCAGAATTCTGAAGAGCTTCTACGGTGCACTGATGAGAGTATTCACACCAGCTCCATCACTGTCTGGTTTGGAAACTGCTCCACCTAGGATGACAAGTGTCTGCAACAAGTGGTCTGGACAGCCCAGACAATCTCAGGTACAGCCCTCTCACCACTAGAGGACCTTTACTACTCCAGGTTCTCATGAAGGCCCACAGATTAATCAAGAACAAAACCCACCCTCAATACAATATTTTCACACTCCTCACAGTGTGAAATTAAGGACCACCACATTACAAAACAGTTTCTATCCCCAGACCAACAAGACCTTGAACATCTCACATCCAATGGCCCTCCCTCCAACCACCATAACACATCATATTCCACTGATACAAGCATCTGACCAGTGGTGTGTTCTCAGACCCCCCCCTCCACACCCCCCCAAAACCCATTACCTTTCTCCATTAATGACTTTCACACACAACACTGTGCAATTCAACAGTGGCTGCTATATAATATGTTGCCCAATTGCACATATTATGATTACACAATTACACAAAATGCACACCTGTATATAATGGCAACTTCAATTTACTACTTTTCTGTAATAAAACTGTATATTCTGAATGATCTGCTGTATTAAACATTTTATGTGTAATATTATGTTCAGTGTTATAATATGTATGTGATCTGTAAACTGTGTATGTTTCATGTTAGCTGTTCCTGGGAGGACATTGTGAAGTTATTCTTGGCTGCCTGTGTATAGGTTAAGAACAGCTGTTGCTTCTGTATCTAATTTGGCAGTGGTCCAGGCAACAATGTGCCTGAGCCAGGCTTTATAAACATGGCCATTTTCTATGTCAAGCAGGTCAGTATAGCTTCTGTGAACTGTATGCACAACAAAGAAATAAAGATTAATGCCACAGATGCAAGGTTGGGCTCCTGGTCATGATTCTGATTAATGAGTCTGATTGAAAATTCTATAATTTATACACTTTGTATTTACAGTGTGTGTATGGTACGCATGCAACATACACTATATGGGCAAAAGTATTGGGACACCTACACATTACACCCACTGGAGATTTTTTGGCGCTCCATTCTAAATCCAAAGGCATTAATATGGAGCTGGTCCCCATTTTGCAGCAATAACAGCTTCCACTCTTTTGTAGTGTGTCTGTGGGAATTTTTGCCCATCCAGAAGAGCATTTGTGAGGTCAGACACTGATGTTGGATGAGAGGGCCTGGCTCACAATCTCGGTTTTAGTTCATCCCAGGTGTTTGATGGGATTGAGGTCAGAGCTCTGTGAGGGCCAGTCAAGGTCTTCCACACTAAACTCACCCAGCCAGGCCTTTATGGAGCTGCTTTGTGCACTGGGGCTCAGTCATGCTAGAACGGAAAATGTTCTTCCCCAAACTGCTCTCACAAAGTTGGAGGCGTACAATTGTTCAAAATGTCTTGGTCTGCTGAAGCATTAAGATTTCCCTTCACTGGAACTAAGGGTTCTAGGTCAACCCCTGAAAAAACAACCCCATAGCATTATCCCTTCTCCACCAAATTTACAGTTGGCACAATGCAGTCAGGCAGGTAACATTCTTCTGGCTTTTGCCAAACCGAGACCTGTCCATCAGACTGCCAGATAGAAGAGTCCAGAGTTTGCATGGTCTACCGCATTGTGGCTAAGATGTTGCTCCTAGGTGCTTCCATTTCGCAGTAATGCCACTTACACTTGACAGGGGCAGATTTAGCAGGACAGAAATTTCACAAAGTGACTTGTGGCACAGGTGACATCCTATGACAGGGCCATGTTTAAAGTAAAAGAAAGTTTAAAGTTAAAGATCTTCAGTACGACCCATTTTACTGCCAGTGTTTGTCTATCGAGACTGCAAGGCAATGTGCTCAGTTTTATCCAGCTGTTAGAAATGGGTTAGGAGGTGCCGTGACAAGGCACAGCGGCGGCATGGTTGGTCAAGGCCAAGTATCGTAGCTCCAGCGTACACAAGCAACAGCCTCTGCTCTGCCGCCCCGGGGAAGAGATGTGGCCCTGAGGGAGGACTGGTGATGTACATGGTCATAAGCATGTGCACATGTTGTGTGTGTTTGCTGGGATGGTGGACACTCTGTAACCCTTCTGTGCAGTGACTGTGAGGTGGGAGGAGTGGCGTTTCCCCATGCACCACAAGTCTCTCTGCTCAGACTTTGTTCGGACTTTGTGGGGTCGCCAAGATGGCTTCTGTGAAGTGAGGGAGCAATGTAGCATCACACTACCAGCTTGTTCAGCTGTGGATGTGTGGGAGGCATAGCCATGTGAAGCAGCGAGTATGGAGCACCATGGGTACCACTGTGGCAGCAGTGAGAGAGACTTTAAGACATGTAAATATGATAGGACTTTGGGCTGGTTGGGTGGTTTTAGTGGTCACCATGAACTGGCTATGTGTGGATGGAGATGACCTGCCCTGCTTTTTGGCCATTCAGCCAGTCCTTGTGGCAAATGTTCCCTGCTCCATGGTTAATAAAAGAGCACTCATTTGATGCAGTTTTTCTACAGGCCATTAATTATCAGAGTTAATATTAAAGTACACCAATAGTTTACAGTCTGATCTTAATAGTAAATACACAGAATATTTGTTCAGCTGAACATTACTGACTTGTTCAAATCTAAGCATACATCAGGTGAATCCCACCCATGAGGTCGTTTGCTAGTTACAGAAATTTCATTAATGAATTTTCATGCTGACTCATACGTGTTGTAGTGTAGGAGGGGTTTGAGGGTCCAGCAGGGTTTAAAAGCTTTCGAGTATGAACACTTGTCTAATGTGAAAAGCAACACCTTACAAGTAAGTTACATTTTATGTTTTAAATTCAACATTGATAGATTATGTTCTGTAATATAACAAGGTATTGTTACCATTACTAATAAGTATCATGACAAGATGTCATAATGTTTGATGTTATAATGGCTAACAATGTAGCAGCTTAAGTAAGTAAAGTGTTAACACTGCCACAATATGAAAACAAAATCACAAGTTTCTATGTAAATCCTCATGCTGTCTTCATGTTGAATGGACATACAAGTTTGTATATTATATGTATATAAGTTTGTGTATTATTGTTTAATTCTGTCCAGGTCCAGGTCTGCTTCAGAATCAAGCTTCAGAGAATCGAGGTCTTTGTCTGTTGAAACAGCTGCCTTTAAAAAAAAAAATGACAGTAAGCGATAAGGTACTCTCAATACTCTCAACTTGCTTATTCTAATGTGACTATTCTAAATGAGGGTTGGACTTCTGTGTTTGTTAACCCACATTTTTTTTCTCATAGATGCAAAAAACATCTTTGAAAGAAAATTAAAATGTACCAAATAACAGGTAGTTTAGTCTGAACTTCACTCAACATACCTGAGTAAATATCAGTTTATGAGTTTACTGCACTTTCATGCTTTCTAACTGTTTCCCAAATGTTTTATTTTCTATTGGTGTACTAATATTATACTAATATTATATATTATATTAGTATGTTGTAATTTTTACAATTTTAATATTTTAATGTTTATTATGTCTCCCAATCTCTTTTTCTACTCTCCAGTTCAGAGTGCTTCTGGCTCTTGTGCTCCCTCTGTTGGCTGGGAGTGCCTCAGTTTCTCAGACCGACTGCTCTGATGTCTCCACTAATGCGACACTGAATGGTGTTTACACCATCTACCCTGCAGGTGACACACCTGTACAGGTGTACTGTGATGTGGGCTGTGATGGACAAGTAGAGTATAAGAAGTGGACGGTATGTTAGACTTTATCTCTACCCTAGAACTGCAGTATTGAGGTCAATTCCTTTTTACAGTCTTAGCAACAACATTATTAAAGAAACTATGGATAGCATACAGTTATATTTATAAAGACATCCAAAATGTGTAATCTGTGTAATTTAACAAGTCACTGATAGAAACACTTGTTAAGTATCAGTGGTGGACTGTAATAATAAGCCATTAATTACTGTACATAAGTACTTTTGCAGTATCTGTACTTTTATAGAAATTAACTTCACTGCTTTCAGCAGGATACTGTGAAGTAAAATATAGATTTTCTGGTAATGCTTTGTTTTAAGGTCAGCTTCTTAACAATTCATTAACTATAAACAAGCAATTAATTATACTAATGGAATTATTATTACACTTTCAAACACAGTGGGCACACACTAGCATTGTAAAATAAGTTTTCAGCCATTTATGAGTTCTGCTTAACAGGACAAACATTCATAAATTGTATAAGTACACTTGTGTCTGACCATTTATTAGCATTTCTATCATATTTGCTCATTGTGAATTCAGATAATTATCACCTGTTCGTATTTCTTAATTAAGGTGTCTCATAAAGACATAACAGGTATGCTTTTAACTAAAAGACTACAAATAATTGACACTAAACTCATTGGACAAAAATAATAACTCACCTTGATAACCTGTCTTATAAATACTGTAGCATTCATTGGTATTAAAACAGGCATAGCTTTCACACAAGTAGTAGTGCTTTATTAACCAGCTGTTGTTAATAAGGCCACAGCCACACTGTACATAAGCAAAGCTCAGAGAGCAGAGCTCTCTCTAAGCTTCAATCCGGACTCATGTCTGCATTCTATCAGCTCGAAGCTCTGACTGACCCACAGTTCTTCCTGTTCTAACACACACATACCCTGCCCCCCCCCACCCCCGAAAAGACAGACAAGCTCCACCTTCACAGTAAGAGTCTTACAATGTGAATAAATGCAGAAGTACTGATAACTTAAAATGAACTTGCATACATTACTTAAACACGCTACAATACATTTATACTTCATTTTAAGCTGGTTTACAGATGGAATGTTTGTATTTATTAGAGCATTATTAAATGTTTGCTAATAGTTTAGTTATCATTAAGAAGAAGATCTTAAAATTGTAACGGTGGCAGGCGCAAACAGATGCTCACAGACTAGGCTAGAGTTCAGAACTTTAATATTAAAGGGTTGATCCAAAAGCACAGTCGAAAAACAGAAGCAAGGAGTTGAAAACCAGAAACCCAAAACTAAGCAAAAGGGCAAGGCAAAAATCAAGGTCAAAAACTGAATGCCGGTCATACACAAAAAAGGAAAAACAGACATCAGTATGCTCAACATGGAGACAATACTTCAGAATGAGTCTTTGTAAACAGGCAGTTTATATACATGGAAAACAGATGTGTGTAATCAGAAGTTCGGTGATGCTGAGCGATGATAGGTGGATCCATTGTAGTTCTGAGTCATGTGACGAAGCAAGGGGTTTTGAGAATTGTAGTCTGAGGTGGCTGTGTTGGCTGTAGTTTCAGCCAGGTTGGATGGAGGCTTAACAAAAAAAGGGTTTCCAATTTTGCATAATATACAAAAGGATATGATGCACTTTTACAATCCATATCACTCCCCTGAACATTGAACCTTAAGTCATAGCTGTAACTAGGCCTGTGCAACCTCAAGAAGCTTTCAGAACTAAAGGAAATGCCATAGTGAAACGCCTGTGTGAGGTATTTTGAAATCAGCCAATACCACAAAGGTTTAACCTGAACTGAAGACATAAGAGAAGAGAAGAAATATTGGATCATTAGAATATCACACTTCTGTATTTTTAGCCAACTAAAATATAAACAGAGCACTTACACTTTTGCTTGAGAAATATTTTACTATAGTATCACAACTTTCACAGTGAAAAAAATCCACCTGCTCTATACTGTTTAGATGAAAATGTACATTTATTTTAGTCTGAGGAAGTTCTGTGAGAAGTTTTTACAGTGCATACAACTGCCTTATTCTACTTTAGAAATTAAGGTTATCTTTACACCAGGTGATTCAGAGAAGAATGGATGGCAGTGTGAACTTCTACAGACCATGGGAGCAGTACAAGAAAGGATTTGGGAACTTGAATGGAGAATTCTGGCAGGGTGAGAATTCATTATCTTTCAGAAACACTGTGTAGAGACCAATTCATTTCATTTACGTAATAAATATTGTAAATTACTTGCACTTTTAGACTACAACATTCATAAAAACTTTCATAACAGACTTTTTCCTGTGCACCCTCAGGATTAGAGACTCTCTACCAGCTCACCAGCAAGAAAACGTATGAGCTGAGAGTGGACATGGAGGACTTTGAGGGAGCGAAGGCTTATGCCCTGTACTCTTCTTTCTCTGTGGAATCTGAAGCCAACGGCTACAAACTCAACGTTGCTGGATTCTACAATGGAGGAGCAGGTGAGATAGAATTTATGATATGGAAAATATTGGAGATGGATGTTGAAGCAAAGTGAAGACTTTGTCATGATCGTACTTCATCCTTCATATGTATATGGGTGAGACAACAACTGGGACATAGTTAGAAAAACAAATTAACCAAAGGCTCGACTAAACAGGTAAGTTTTTAGCCTAGACTTAAAGATGGAGGCTGTGTCTGAGTCCCGAACACAGACTGGTAGGTTATTCCAAAGCTGGGGGGCTTTGTATGAAAAGGCTCCTCCCCCTGACGTAACTTTATTTATTCTGGGTACTAATAATGAGCAGCACCTTGTGATCTAAGTGGGCGTGTCGGTTGATAATAGGAAATAAGGTCACTGAGGTACTGAGGAGCAAGGCCATTCAAAGCTTTATATGTCAGTAGAAGAATTTTGTACTCAATGCGGAATTTAACTGGCAACCAATGTAAGGTACACAAAATTGGGCTAATGTGGTCGAATTTCCTGGTTTTGCTGAGAACTCTGGCTGCAGCGTTCTGGACTAACTGAAGCTTGTTAAGGTTTTGGCTGGAACAACCAGAAAGCAGATCATTACAGTAATCTAACCTGGACGTGATGAAGGCGTGAACTAACGTTTCTGCATCCTGTAGCGACAGTGCATTTCTTAATTTAGCGATGTTACGCAGGTGGAGGAAAGCTATTCTGGTAATATTGGTAATATGCTCATCGAAGGCCAGACTGGGATCAATCGTGACACCAAGACTTTTTACAGATGTGCCTGGTGCAATTGAGAAACTATCGAGATTAAGAGTAAACGTAGGCAGATCATCCCTAGCAGCTTTTGGACCCAGAAGAAGGACTTCGGTTTTGTCCAAATTTAGTAATAGGAAGTTGCTTGACATCCATTCTTTAATGTCTTTGACACAGTCCTCTATCTTATTAAGTTCAGTTTTGTCCTCTGGTTTAGCTGAAATATATAATTGTGTATCATCGGCATAGCAGTGGAAACTGATGCCATGTTTTCTAATGACGGTACCTAGTGGTAGCATATATAAGGTAAATAACATGGGTCCTAAGACAGAGCCGTGTGGAACACCATACTTTACTCTTGTGAGAGCTGATGGTTCACCATTTACATTAACAAACTCAAAGCGATCACTAAGGTAAGATTTGAACCACGAAAGAGCTTTACCTGTCACTCCTACTAGTTTCTCAAGCCTGTCTAATAGAATGGAATGGTCTATTGTGTCAAAAGCTGCACTAAGATCCAGTAAAACCAGTAAGGATATGTTTCCTTTGTCAGCGGATAATAAAAGATCATTTACAATTTTCACTAACGCTGTTTCGGTACTATGGTGAGGCGTGAAGCCAGACTGAAATTTTTCATATATATTACTCCTATGCAGATGGGAACATAATTGTTTTGCCACTGCTTTCTCTAAAATTTTTGATAAAAAGGGAAGATTTGAAATAGGTCTATAGTTTGATAACTCAGAGGGGTCAAGACTGGGTTTCTTTATTAGGGGTTTAATTACACCTAATTTAAGAGATTTTGGAACATACCCGAGGCTGAGAGAAGAGTTTATTATAATTAGAAAGGGCTTAGTTATTTCTGGCAAAACGTCTTTAAGTAAACCTGTAGGAATAGGATCTAGTATACAAGTTGTTGTTTTTGTAGATGAAATAATTTGGATGAGCTCTGTTTGTTGGAGTAAAGTAAAAGACTCCAGCTGAATAGTAGTCTAGGATTATTCTTGTTATTTTCAATCAATGACGAGAGATAGGCTGAATGTGCTGACTTTAGTGCTTTTCTATAGTCTATAAGACTCTCCTTCCAGGCAGAATGGAAAACCTCAAGTTTAGTCTGACGCCATTTACGCTCTAATCGCCTAACAGTCTGTTTCATAGCTCGAGTATGGTCATTGTACTATGGAGCCTTTTCTGCCTTATTCTTTTACTTTTTAATGGAGCCACATTATCTAAAGTGGAGCGAAAAGTGTCTTCTAAACATTTAGTCAGTATATCTAATTCACTGGGTTCAGACGGACAACTAATTAAGGACGAAAGATCTGGAACGTTTTCAATAAAGCTATTGGGTGTAGACGATGTTATAGTACGTTTAACACTATAGCGTGTGGATGAACATATATTACGACTAAAACTGATTTCATATGAGATTGAGTAGTGATCTGACACTGCTGTGATCTGAGGAAGGATGGCCAAATGCTTAATGTCTATACCTAAGGTCAATATTAAGTCTAGAGTGTGGTTACAGTAATGAGTAGGCCCCATAATATTTTGAGTGAAGCCAAAACAGTCTAAAATAGATATGAATGCCTTACTTAGCGGATCCTGTGGTTTGTCTATGTGGATATTAAAATCTCCAACAATTATTACTTTATTCGAGATTGTTATTAAACTAGATAACAGGTCAGTAAATTCCTGTAAAAACTCAGAGTAAGGCCCCGGTGGCCTGTAGATTATGATAAGCGAAAATGAGCTCTCATTTGTTCCTCGACTGCTAACGTTGAGAAACTGAATTTCAAAGGAAGAGAAACTACGGTCTGCTTTCTGGTTTAGTCCTAAAGTATTGGTGTAAATGGTTGCTATGCCTCCACCCCGACCGTTTAAGCGAGGACTATGTACATAGCTATAGCCTGTTGGCGTGGCTTCATTTAAAGCCAAGTACTCTTCAGGTCTAACCCACGTCTCTGTTAGACACAGAGCATCAAAGTCGTGATCAGTAATAATTTGATTAACAATGACGGCTTTAGAGATCTTATGTTAAGCAGTCCTAGTTTTAGACCAAAGGTGCGGTCATGGCAGAGTGGTACAACTGGTCTGATATTAATCAAGTTACTAGAGCAAACACTTCGAGGCTTTTTGATGCTTTGTTTTATTCGGGGAACAGACACAGTCTCTATTGGGAGAAACCTATGAGCATTTATATTTATAGAATAAGCTTTTATATCAGCACTTGCCTTATTTATAGTATAAGTGCTAGTAATCGTCTTATTTTCAGTACTAACACTAGCATTATAAGCTGTAGCATTTCTATTTTTGGCGCTACTTACGTGGCCTTCGCTGTGTAGTCAGTGGATGGCCCTCTCGATGTTCCGTGAGAGGACAACAGATCCTACATGACTGGGGTGGAGGCCGTCCCTCCGGAAGAGCGCTGGCTGCTCCCAAAACGAGGCCCAGTTGTCCACGTATCCCAAGCCGTTGAAGGCGCACCAGCCGCGGAGCCAGGACTGCAGTGTGAACAGCCTGCTGAACCGCTCGGATCCCCTCCTGTAGGTGGGAAGCGGTCCGGAGATGACGATCCTGGCGTCCGTCTACTTCCTGGCAGTGTCCAGCAGCGTCTGGTAGTGCTCCTTCAGGACCTCACTACGTCGGTCGAGGATGTCGTTGGTCCTGACATGGATCACCACGGTCCCGAAGGCGTTTCGTCTGCTGAGAGCCGAGGGGAGGCGCCTGGCTATGTCTAAGACACGAGCACCTGGAAAACACGAAACAGTGGCATGGGTGTTTATAACCTTTACTTTAACGTGGCGGACAATGGAACTACTGATAACGTAAACAGAGTCCTGTGTAGAGCGTGAGGGCGTATGCGATGTACTGAGGGCGGCGAAACGGTTGCCGGAGGTGAAGATCGGAGGTGAAGGGCGGCGGTGAGGGTCTGCAGGGCCCTCTGTGGCGCTGGCGTTCCCAGGGACCATGCGGGGCTGGCGTGAGAACGGCGTCTCCCGGCGTGCGGAAAGACGAGGCCGGCACCACCACCGAGGGGGAAACTTCCTGGGCGGCTTCGAGCATCGACTTCTGCCGAAAGGAGCTCATCCTGCTTCTTCAGTAGGGCGGTGATCTGCCGATCCAGCCGGGCCAACTCTGCGCTCAGGGTCTGGAGGGCGCGTTCCTGGGCAGACGCCATGGTGGATGGGCTGAGGGAGTAACTGTGAGAAAGATAGAAGGAGAGGGGGAGAAGACAAAATAAGAGGGAGAGGCGTGAGGGGGTTAGCAGCCTGCTAACTGCAGAATTTTTAACTAATTTTATAACACTGTACCATAACACAGTGTTTCACTGCATCACAAGTATGTAAGCTTGCAAGTGCACAATGTTTTATGAGCTCTGAAAACTGGCTAGAGCATCGGCAAGAACTGCCTATTTTGACAGAAAGGGGCCGTTTAATAGACATGAAATATTGCCAAACACAAAACATTGTTTTTGAGTTCAAACAGGCCATTTTTAAAAACAGTGCTACAACAAAAACAGCCCAGCAGGAAACAAAGCAGTGTGCATCAGCAAATATGCAAGATTGTCTCAATTACTAGCCACAAAATACTTCAATGTAAACTGTTGAAAGACTATTAAGGATGTGAATCCCCAAACTTTACATACTTTTTTCAGTCCAGTCATTGTGTCTCACTCTGAAAGGCTTATCATTGTCAGAGAGTGCACAGTGGGCAAACTCAATTTTCTTTTTTCTATGCTGAATAAAAAAAAATAAAAAAAAACCACTCTATGAAAGTCTGTACAGATGGCTATGGGTGGGGGTTACTTTAAAATGTATTCTGGTACAGATTACCTCTTAACCTAATTCAAATGATTACTATATTAAAATTGTAATCTGAAAACCTTTACTTTGGGATTACTTCTACTCTTTTTAAAGTCAGATAATTAAATAAAGATGAGAAAAGTAATTTTAAAAGCACTGGAACGTAACACAAAGTAAACTTCACTCTTTTTTGTAGCAAAATGACAAATTGACGGTGTTAACATTAGTAAACATTAATGTTAGCTCAGTTCTGCCAATAAATATACACTTACTAAATTTTCTATAGATTGGCTGAGTAAAAGACTGTGAACTGCTACTTCTGAGGAGGATTGTTTATATTTCTCTGCTGGCGGAAGCCCTGACCCCCTCCCAAAATGAAAACTCTTCAAATCTTCACAACTCTTGTGACATATTTAACCCTCAGAATAGGAAATCTTGAGAGAGTGTTGAGTTTGCTTTGTATGTGACTGAATGTAATTCTGCTGGTAATAACCCTGTTTTTATAATGTATCTGTAATCTGATTAATGCCTTTTTTACTGTAACTGTAACAGAATGCAGTTACCTCTTTTTGTATCCTGATTACGCAACTCTGTTACAGGTATTCCGTCACTACCAAACTCTCCACATGGCTGTCTGGATAGCCAATGAGAATGTATCTAAAATTCCAATAGAGGTTGTAGTCTTAGCCTACAATAAACATCAGACTGAAAGGAGGTTCTGAAGCCGAGACTGTTGATGTCAAAACAAAGACTATAACAGTGTTCACATAAAATCAAAAGTAATTTTTACATAAATTTATATTAAATATGTTATAAAGTTGTTGTTTACTCTGTTTTGTGATATTTGAATGTGGAAAGCATGTCTGTGCTGACAGATCCTTCTGTCTGCAGGTGACTCACTGGAATACCAAAATGGACAGAAGTTCTCCACCTTTGACAATGACCAGGACTCTAGTAGTGATAACTGTGCTAAACTCTACCTCGGAGCATTTTGGTACAATACTTGCCACCATGCTAACCCCAACGGTATATATGTGTGGGGACAGCACGGTAAACATAATGCTATTGGAAATGTGTGGTCCCACTTTAAAGGCTATGAGTATGGTCTCAAGTTCATCAGTATGAAGATCAGACCTGTGGCTTAGATCTATATGATGCGTTCCTCTTGCTCAAAATAAATTCTGAGTTCAAAATATTCAGGTCAAAATCATTGCTCACACTGTTACTTTATAATCTTAATTTTGTGTTGAGCTGCATTTTTTATGCTAATGTTTGTTTAAGCTCTCCAGATGTTTTCACATTGTAAAGTTTTCAGCAGAAAATAAATGTTTGACCAGGGACACGGAAAGGTGTTTTAAATTGGGGGTGCTGACATTTTAAGCAGTGCATACTCAATGGTGATATCATGCAAAATTATTTGCCTTATTTTTTTTCTTTTATGATTATTTGCATCAATCAGATGTTGCACATTCTGCTCATTCTTTTCTTAACAAACCTTATGCAAATGAGCTGAACAAATTAGGTAACTGATCAAATTGTCAATGTGTGGTGCAGGAAGCAATTGTGTCACGGCCACAGCCGCACACTTAAATTCAACTCTGAGCAGGAGACAGAATGGCCGATTAAAGAAAAAAAACAAAACAAATGTATCCAAAGTGCAGGATATAAAGTTCCATTTTTTCTGAATTAAAAAACAATATTAAGCTGCTGTGGGGCTTGTAGCAGCTCTGCATGCATTTTCCCTCTTTACTCCTCAACCTGTTTGTGTTTTAACAATACAACCCCAAAGCATCCAGCAGCCAATGGTTGAAGCCATTTGGCTTCCTGTAATGAAAACGCAAATCAAAAAATGAAAACTTAAACAGTGCTACTGCCGCACCCTTTAGCACCCCCACTTCCCGCATCCCTGTACATATTACATTTTAACGTGCTATATATATTGAATGTATTGAATGAACTCTTCTGTTGAATGCAAATAAAACAATCACTGCTAAAATATCATGCATATTTTTGATATTTTCATCTGTGACCATTCATTAAATTTCACCAGTTTAATAGTGTTGCAAATTCAAACTACATATACAATTAAATAAATTCAAGTTGATAAGCTGGCTTCGAGGTGAATGTTAGAAGCTGATTCGCCTTGAAGAGCCAATGTTATTTTATTTTTATAAATTGTTTATTTTGTAAAGTAACGCAAATAAATGAGCATATGTTATACAGCTGTAGCATCCATTGACCTCTTTTCTGGATCTTTTTGCTCTGCCCCCTCGTTGTCACCACACCTGCTGCTTGTTGTGTTACATTTGGCTCTGGTTTGGTTCTTAGCAGTTTTCTTGTAATTCTCAGCTGTGTTTTAAACTGTGCCTGGTTAGTTCTTCACCTGTCTGTGTTAATGATCGGTTGATGGATTTGTATGCATATTACTTGTTGGTCTAGCTTGTGATCCCTATTTTTCAAATTTCATCCAGCCAAACTACTTAACAACATCCGATTTACTAGACTTGTTCCTAAATAAAAAGCACAATAGATTTTTATTAAAGTAGTCATTTAGAATGTAGAAGAAAGTTTTATTAAAAATTAGATGAGAGATAACTGTGATGAAGCAGACTCAGAAACTTGTGAAGAATCCATGTGCAGATTTATTAACAAGGGGGCAGTCCAAAACTCATGATAAAAAAGGCAAAGCAAAAAAGGTCGCAACAGAGAAATCAGTCCAAAAGGCCAGGCAGACAGAGCAAAAGGGACAAAAAGCAAAGGCAGAGGTTTAAAATACCAGAAAGACAGACAAACAAACGCTCAGTAGTCAGACACGAAAGAACTGGCAATGCTTTGCACACACTGGCTGAATGGGAGGAGTTTTTAAGGTGTGACTGATTAGAGAGATGATAAGATACAGAAGGCTTGATTCTGGGAACAGGGCTAGTACTCGGGGAGGGAGACTTCTGGGCCAGATAGTGAATTGCTAACAGTACTTTCCCACGAATAGGCAGCTCCTGATGCCAATTAGCCCCACCGCCTGGGTCGACCCCGTGGGTGTGGAGCAGGATGGTCAGGATGGTCCTGGTGAAAATACCTGATGAGAGAGGTGTCCAGAATGTCCTCTGATTTAACCTAGCATCATTCCTCTGGACCACAGCCTTCCCAATCAACCAAATATTGGAGAGTCCTACCACGCCGCCTAAAATCCAACAGGGCCCGGACCAGGTATGCAGGTGACCCATCAAAGTCCAAGGGCAGCGGGGCCTCCAGGGGGTAGAAATCTGACGACCAGCAGTAGAAACACATTTGAGTAATGAAACATGAAAAGTGGGTGAAATCCTATAGTAGGTAGGCAACTGAAGCCAGTAAAAACAGGATTAATCCTCCTGACAATCTTAAAAGGCCCTATACACTTGGGACTTTACATGGTAATTTCACCTTCAAATCCTTGGTGGACAGCCATACTCTCTGACCCACTTCATATGTAGGGCAGTCTCTGCGATGGCGGTCCACTTGGATTTTCTGTCTCCTTATTGCCCTCTGTAGACGAACATGAGCTTCCTCCCATGTTTGCTCACTCCGTCTCATTCAGTCATCTACGGCCGGAACTTCAGATGGCTCTCCAGACCAGGGAAACAGAGGAGGTTGGTACCCTAGGACACACTGAAATGGGGTTAGGCCTGTGGATGTATATGTTAATGAATTTTGTGCATATTCTGTCCATGGCAAATAAAGCTCCAGTCATATTGAGAGTTGCTGCAATATGAATGGTTGATTCCAATTGAATTGGTTGATTCCAATTGAATTGGTTTTCCATTTGCCCATAAGATTGGGGATGATTACCAGAAGACAAGCTGACTGTGATGTTCAACAACTTACAAAAGGCTTACCAAACATGGGAACATACTTTGCGAAAACAATGTCTCAGCAGTTTCCATGGCAGTAGGCAGCTTACTTGATGGAATAAGCTGACACCCCTTGGAGAATCAGTCAGTGACCACCATAATGACTGTATGGCCCTGAGATGAAGGGAGGTCTGTCATAGAATCAATAGACAAATGGGACCATGGATGATGAGGAATGGGAAGGGGCTCTAGCAGCCCTTTGGGCGATTGACGTGGTGTCCTGCTTTGTGCACAAACGACCCAGGCATTAACAGTTGATTAATGTAGTAAGAAAGTGCTTGGGGAACATGAAGCTTGTCACGTGGGCAGTCTGTGGATGGCAGATTAGACCCATGTGCCTGTTGTATTTGGTCCATGATTTCCCACCTAATGGGCGCCACTATACAGGAGGAGGGGATGATGGTTTTGTCACCAACAGAGGCATAATCTGGTTCGTGGAGACAGGAGAAAGCATCTACTGTGGTATTCTTGGATCCAGGTCAGTAAGTGAGGGTAAAGTTGAATCTGGTAAAAAAAAGAGCCCACCGGGCTTGACGTGGGTTTGACGTGGCTTGGCTGCCTTTATTGTATTCAAGGTTTCGGTGACAGGTGAGAATCGTGAATGGATAACGGGCCCCTTCTAACCAGTGTCTCCATTCTTCCAATGCTGCTACCAACATCGTAGTTTCACTCAGTGGGAGTGAGTTTTCTGGAGTAGAAGGTACATGGATACATACACCGTGATGTTGCAATAGTGTAGCCCCTATCCCCATGTCAGATGCATCTACTTCCACAATGAACGGCAGGGTTGGGGCTAGATGTTTCAGAATGGGAGCAGTAGTAAATCTGGACTATAGTTCTACAAAGCCTGTTTCAGCGGCTTCATTCCATTTCAGCGATTTGGGTTTTCGCTGTAACAAGGATGTCAAGGGGGCAGCAATTGCTGAAACCACGGAAGAATCACCAGTAAAAATTTGTGAACCCAAGAAACCTTTGCAGTTATTTGACAGAGTGGGGAGTTGGCCGATCTTTAATAGCTTTTTGTCATTGTCCTTCTGAACCCATAACCCAGAAAGGAAATCACAGGGAAGTCACATTTGCTCAAGTTTTAAAAAGCCATTTCAGATCTTAGTGCTTCATTTAGGCCATTGCAGTATACTGTTTTTAAATTGTTGTTCCAACCACTTATAGCTGTTAGGGTGCGAAAGCTAAGCGAGTAATCCAAAGCCGTGCTTTTCCCTTGTTTGATGTGGAGGTGTCACTGCAGAGAATGATCCACTATTTAAATAATAGCTACTCTGTGGGGGTCTGGACCATTAAAGTACAGGTGAAAGGGGGCTAACAAAGTATATAGAGAAATAGATGGTCTACATTCTGTAAGTGTAGACCTACAAAGGTGAGTATGGTAAATAGAGCTGGTAAAATGGACAATGAATGTAGAAACAAGGTGGGTTTAATGATTTGGCTGGTCCATTAATATGAATATTTATGCAATATGCAAATTAATTGTAAATTAATTAATTATTTAAATAATTATTTACTGTAATATTGTTGTATAAAGATGTATAAATAGTTTGATTGTAAGTAAATGATTACTTAACTGTTTATATTCTATTAAAACTTAAAAAAATATATAAAACAGTATCTATCATCATTATTTATCTAACTGGCAGCTAGGTAAGTGACGAACCTTGTTTGATGTGGAGAAAGTGGTTACTGTTACATTTCCCCCTCAGAGTGCTTAGAGGAATGTTTACCTTCATAAATTTAAACTGTCAAAGAGCAGCAAGTAGTGCTCGAATTCTTAGATTTCGGCATTGGACTACAACTCCTGTCTAATCTGCTGTTTCATTCAGAGCAAATCCAATTAAAAATGCTATAAAAACTGTCAGAGCAGGATCCATGGTCATAAAATGCTAAGGCGATTCTTATGGCTGAGGTAAGTTAACACTGGTCATGTGCAGTGGGCAGGAACAAGCGGCAACATCATTGCTGTCTAACTAGAGCGTTTCATTAATCTGTTTTATAAGGTTGGATGAAGGTTGGAATGCTGCCTACTTAGACAGCTGCCTAGACAGTGGACAGTGGCTACTAAGAGAGCTCACTAAGTAGTGGGACACATCCTAAGCTTTTGATCATCCTCATGAGGGACACTCTAAAGGAGGACTTGTTGTAAAACTTTGACAGCGTAATCAATCTCTGGGAGACTACACCTTAGAATTTCGTACATTGGCTGCTGCTAGTGGTTGAAATGAGCCAGCCCTGTTGGTAACATTTCATGAAGTTCTTAATGTGGACA